AAAAAAAAAAAAAAAAAAAAAAGAAATGGAATCCCCCAGCATCTCTATTTCTCCTTCACCTGCTTGGAGTCTAAACTTTGTCATTGTGTTCACAGGCTTCACCTTCAGCTTCTCTGTTCCAAGGCTGGGAAGGGAGAGACTCCAGCAGGATCAGTTCTGCCTCCCAGTCCTGCGGCCCGCCTGCTCCAGTTGCTGTCCCAATAAAGTGATGTTTAGTGGGCATGCAGTGATGTGACAGAATCAGGAAGAATTCTTGGTCTCTCCTGACTTTTTGCAACTGAGAAGCACATTACTTCTTTTTATAGTAACATTCCTAGGAAAGCAATTTTGAGGAGGGGGGTTTGAGAGCAGTGAATCTGACGGCCCAGGCAGGTGGGCTCGCTGAAGGCACACTCTTCCTGGAGTTAAAAGTTTCCAGGGCTGACAATTTTTATCCAAGAGGATTTTACTACTTTCTGGGTGTCCTTCTATTACCTAGTGTCTGTATTTATTATTTTCCACTATGTTAATGCAGAAAACATTTGCCAAGTATGTTATTAAATATTAGATAAAAATCACACCATGCCATTTTGTGTATATATTTTATTCCCATTTTAATATGTTACTTTTAATAAATAATGTACTAAACACTAAAATTATCATAACATGACTGTGACAATTGCAATGGTATAGTTTTACCATAATTGTGAAATGTTTTTGATTGATTATTAGAATATGAGAACTTACTAACAGAAGGTGTCTGTAATAAGTGAGAAAGGAACAAAAGATTCACCTCTCAGAGCCTGTTATGAGGATGGCAGTTAGTCATTTATTTGGTCTATTTTTCATTCACAGTATGTGACAAGGATGGAGGGGCATTTATGACACCATACTGCATTCATTCAGATAATAGGATCAAGATTTTTCATTAATCTATTTGGTTGACACTATCTCTGCTTATTTTTTATTTCTTCTACAAGTATAATGATTTGTTTCAGCAATCATTGCCAAATCTCTGGTTTGCAGAAAACTAACACTTCAGAAATATATAATTATGATATTATTCTTCAGTGTATCACTTTCTTAAAAATACCCTGTGATTATAGCTGTCACTCCATCAGGAGCAAATTCTTCTGTTGAGAGATGACAGAGCAACCTTGACCATTTCCTTGACACATGGGATCAAAATGTCAAGTTGGCTGTGGAAAGCTTTGGAAGTAATAAGTCGCCAGTGGCAGCTTTTTAACTTTTATTGCTTCCTAAGCTGATTTCAGTGCTAAATTATCTTACTGATCCGAGAACAGTATGGTGGAGATAGAATGGTGTATTTAAAGCTGCCTTTTAAAATTTCTTTTGTTGTAATGGATTTGACAACTTCCAGCTTTAGGGATTATACAATCATCTTGATTTTAAGTTCCTGATGTTTGGGCTATTTATAATCAAGGACATCAAGCAAGAATAAGCATAACTAAATTTCCAACTGATGTCTCTTTGAGAAGAAGGATGGGGAAAAGGGAAAAAAAGAAAAGAAAAGGAAGAGAAGAAAGGAAAGGATCTCTACTGTGTATGCTTTCACTTTAGGGCTGCTGTGCTCACGTTTAATTCTTGCCTAGAAGTCTTAAAGAGGGTGACATAGTTAGTGGAACGTGCCAACCAGAAAGCGTTTGGCTTCAGAGGGGAACTCTCCCAACATCCCTAGCATGCTTTACTGAGGTCCTCAGCAAAAGCCATGTTACACGGAACATATCACAATGAAACAAACTCTTCTGTAATTTAAACTACGACAAGTAACATGTTATTCTGAATCCTAGAAAAAACATTTTCTCTACCTTGCATGAGCAATGTCAGAAGAGATTTACAAGAATTGCAAAGAAGAAAAGATTTCCAATGGTCATAAAAGAATAGAGTTTGTTCTAGTTCAAGAATTATACACAAAGAATATGAATTAATCTAACAACTATAGTATTAAATCTTTAAAAAGGTCAAAATGATAAGAGGATTGAGAAATTTACAGAAATGTGTATGGCATTTTACAGCAGCAATCTCAAAGGTAATGTCTGCATTTTTATAAGCCCAATTAAATGTCTGTTGAGATGGGATATTTTATTTTCAAGTCAAAATAATCATTAATCAGATTTTTTGATTATCTAATTTAGATGATCTATTTTTTATGCCTAGCTTATTATAAGCCTTTTATTCTGATACACAGTTCAAATGTCACTGCAACAAAGGAAAGTCTGTATTTAGATCAAAGTCAAGACTTTTGGTGTTTATTCTTCTTGGCAACATGAATATAATTTAAGTCTGTCAATAGTCAAAACATAAACAAGAGCTAATTAACTGGCACAGTTGTCACCTGAGAATATGTGGATGTTGGCTGATACACAGGCTGTAATCAGCCAGCAGAGAAAGACTTATAAATTCCCCTTGCTGAGCTGAAATATTCTATTATATGTAGTTGGAAGATATGTGTCTTATTTCTTGTCTACCTGCTGTATTTAAATTTGTGAGGATCAACCGAGGGCATAGTTGAAATTTCAACAATGAACGTGCCTGATTTTCCTGATTTTTTTTCTGTAGATTTCTACTTGTGGTCATTGAAGATTTTATGGGGTTCTGAAAAGAAAATTTGGTATATCCTTTAAGAGTTGTATTTTGAGTGACTATATTTTAAGACTATGAAACGGCTAATATGGCCTAATATTAAAGATACCCTACATCATTAGAGTTAACTGACCCCATGCTGCAGTCAAAATTTGTGATGAATTATCCACAGGTATTTTCCTTAAAATTTCCCCACAAACACAAACAAGAGTTTTCATGTCCCACTAAATGAGTATATTTTGTCCCTATTTCCAGAGAATTTATCCTTTGGTTTAAACATACCTATTTTCTATTCTGGATACTTTTTAAAGAAAAAACTATTTTCATAAATAATGGGAAAACATTCATGAAGTCAGAAATTTTACCAAAGGCAAGGTCACCAAGAATAATTTAAAAGCTTCCAAAGATTTACTTAAAAGTGTTTTAAAATCTGATCAAGAATTCTGACATTAGCAATAAATAAGAAAGTATAAATATGAATAACATGCAGTTTTTAAAAAAACACAAAAGAAAATTTAACAAAGTGATCATGGGCAATATCATTAGTTAACTAACACCATATCACCGCTCATTCTGTGCTAGGTGCTATGCAAGACACTTTACAGTCATCATTGTAGTTAATCATCACAATAACAGGCTCAATGGCTCATGTCTATAATCCCAGCCCTTTAGGAGGCTGAGGCCAGAGGATCATTTGAGGTTAGGAGTTCAACATTAGCCTGAGCGAGAGCAAGACCCTGTATCTGCAAAAAATAGAAAACAATCAGTCAGTTGTGGTCATATGCACCAGGAATAGATCTCAGTTACTTGGAAGGCTAAGGAAGGAGGATTGCTTAATTCCAAGAGGTGCAGTGACCCTGTACTATAGGTAGGATGATAGAGTGAGACCCTGTCTAAAAATATTAATAATAAAAATAATAATAAGATGGCAGTGCCTATGGCTCAAAGGAGTAGGGCACTGGCCCCATATACTGGAGGTGGCAGGTTCAAACCCAGCCCCAGCCAAAAAATTGCAAAAATGATTAAATAAATAAATAATAATAATAAGAGACAATTCCTAATACATGTATATTAGCAGCAGCAGCAACATCTCCGTTTTAAAAATTGGGGAGTCAAGATAGAAAGTTAAATAACCTGTCCAAGGTCATACAACTAGTAAACAGAACATATTTGAATTTCAACCTATGTTCAAATCCTTGTCCTTCATCGCAGTATTGCTTAGTCTCTCTAAGCATCAGCTTATCTATAAAGAGAGATGAAAGCATATTGCTTCTGGTCATAATCAAAAACAGGGACCAGATTTATCTCAGTACAATTTAAAAATAAACAACTATTTTAGATAGTAGACAACAAAAAGAGCTGGACTGGGATCTATGTGCAGAGAAAAAGAAAAATGGTGAGCCCTTGGATGCCTTGACTTTGGCACATCCCAGACCAGCTGCCTAATAGAGAATACCTGTCTAGAACCTGACAGTTACACTGGGTTGAGGGGTCGTAGATGGAAGCCAGTCGACTAAGGTGGCTGAAATTTGTGGAGCATAGAAACAGACAGAAGGGATCCACATAGAGAAGGATCTCAAAAAATCTGGATAGATAACTTCGTATTTGTTAATAATTGGACCAGAATTGGTGAACACATTTAGGATGAAATTCCATATGACCAGGCAAAGAACAGCCACTAAAAAAACAACTGTGTAGTTATATGTTAAAAATGCTGAGATCTCATACAGAGCAGAGAAGAATTCTCCTGTTGACCATATTCAAAAATCCTCATTGATCACTGTATTAAATGACCTTAAAGTGGTGACACCTTAGTAGTAATGTTTTAAAATACCTCTAGAATAAAGATAGCTCTAGATGAGCTCTAACACAGCTTTAAAATAGTCTTGAAAGAATTAAGCTAATCCATAAAATATTTAATAGCCTTCCAGAATAAAGTCTAGCCAACTTTTATAAAGACAAAATATAGCATAACAGTTCAACAACATAAAATTGTAAATTTTCTAAATAAGTAAATTGTGAACCATAACCACTAGATAAATTAGTCAATAGCAACAAACTCAAACAGGAATGATGAAAAGGAAAGGCACTTCACAGCTAATTCCATAAGATTGGTATTATGAGTGATAATAAAATCAGCCAAAGACAATATTAAAAAGAAAACTGGCCAGGCGTAGCAGCTCATGACTATACACCTAGCACTCTGGGAGGCCATGGTAGGAGTATCACTTGACCTTAGTAGTTTAAGACCAGCCTGAGCAAGAGTGACACTCTGTCTCTACTAAAAAAGTAGAAAAATTTGCCATTGTGGCAGGCACTTATAGTCCCACCCTTCTCAGGAAGGTGAGGCAAGAAGATCACTTGAACCCAGGAGTTTGAGGTTGATGTGAGCTAGGATGATGCCCAGTCTAGACAACAGAGTGTCTATCTAAGGAAAAAAGAAAGAAAGAAAAGAAAACCTACAAGACAAATCTAGAAAATTAAAAAAATAATATAATGATATGTGAGATTTTATTCCAGGAATCTAAGTTTGTCTAATATTTGAAAAACAATCATTATAATTCAACATATTAACAGAATAAAAGAGAGTTTAACTGCATAGATATAGAAAAAGCACGAGTTGAAATTCAGAATGTATTTATGGTAAAATCTCTCCTCAAACTACAACATGATTAAGAGATGATAGTGGGCAACTTTCTCTGGTTCCTGTTCTAAACAGGAATGTTGTCAAGATTTCCTAGTTCACTATGATGTTAGCTATGGGTTGGCTGTATATGGCATTTATAATTGTGAAGCATGTCCTCTCTTTGACAATTTGTTAAAGCATCTTTGTCATAAGGGGTGCTGAATTTTGCAAAATTCTTTTTCTGTGTCAATTGAGAGGCTCATTTGGTCTTTGTTTTTTCTTCTATTTAAGTAATGAATTACATTTATAGATTTGCATGTATTG